ACAAGCAGCTCTACTAGAAAGGCAGATGGTAAAAGTGTAAAAGAGTGTTGCCAGGAGCCGGCTGCGAAGGGGAAAGAAAGGACATTCATTCTCACTTAGAGAATCACAGACAGTGTCATGGAGGCCAGACAGTGGGCCTTGAGCTAGCTGCACCCTCAGGGACTTCAGTACGGAGGGGCTGGGAGGGGTTCATGCAGAGGGAGAGGTGGCTGGGCGGGGGACGGGAGGTGGAGGGGCCTAGTGGAGGAGCGGTAAATGTCACAGGGAGCCGGAGCCAGGCAGTGTGGGATTTCATGAAGCTGCCTCTGAAGGCCTGGAAGGAAAGCGAGCCGGGAGCCTGCTGGGAGGTCTGGACCAGAGCCTGCAGGGTGGGAAGGAGGACGGATCCGAACACACTGACAGGTGACTTTGGCTGGAGGAAGCGGGATGCGAGGTCCAGAATGGTGCTGGGCTCCCTGCCTGTGTGTCCCGGGTGAGAAACCCAAGGAGGGCGGCCACCCAGCCAAGGCCAGGGCCTGTCAGGAGCAGTTGCCCCAGGTGGTTCCAGTAAAACAAAGATAATTTGGAGGACATTGTATGCCTGTGACAGGAGTCACCTGTTCTGGGCTCAGTGAAAGCCCAGAGGCTCTGAGACAATTAGGAGAGCTGCTGGGGCCAAAACCCGCTGCCACATGGAAACTGGGAAGCCATCAAGTTCTCAGAGAGAGCAGGACTCAACTTGCTTCCTTCCCGAGAGATTCCTCTTGAATGGGACCTTGGCTTTAGGGCCTGGGGACCCGGGGGCTCTCCCTGCTTTGGCTTGGGAAGGTGTAGCACTCTTTCCAGAGCCACAAGACCCAAGGGCAGCAAAGCTAGGCATGTCCCATGGGCTTAGAGAAGCAGGGCATTGTGGGATCTGTAGTCCCCTTGCTGCCTGCTTCCCCCAGGATGGTGGCTTATCCTAAGCTCCCCTAAGGTTCCGACTTGGAAAATAAGTGATTCCCTTGAATTACGTGGTACAACCTTCCCAAGGAAGAGACGCCCCGACCCCAGGAGGCGAGTGCTCAGAGGGCGGCCCTCAGCCTTGCAGCAGGGCCTGTGGGCTGGAGGGACTCCCGCTTGGCCCTGGCCTGGGCTGAGCGGCCATCCTGCACCCCTGAGGTCATTGCTGAGTACTGTTATTGCAAAGTGGTGGAGCCCTCCCCGGGGCAGGAGATATTTTTACCTGTCTGCTTCCTAGTCGGTGTTTTTATCTTTTTAGGAAGATGCACAATTCAGTGGCTCGGGCCTGCCGCTCTCACGTGCTGTTCTGAGCTGCCAGCTGCACGGTTGCTAGGTGACAGACGTGGCCGCGGCTTCCTGGGCCTTGGAGCCCCTCTGCGTTGTGCTTTAAGTCATGGAGCCTTTCCTTTCAGAGAACATCATGGAACCTCATCTCCTGTGCTGCTCGAGAAAGCAACTTTAACGGCTCACCCAGCTACTCTGGGGGCTGATTGCAGTCTGGCTGGGCCGGCTGGACCGGCTGTCAGAGTGTCCCCAGGGCGCCCCACGAAACTCAAGGGAATCATTTATTTTCCAAGTTGGGACCCTAGGGGAGCTGAGTGGAGAAGCCACCATCCTGGGGAAAGCAGACAGCGAGCTCTCAACTGACAGGATGGCATGACACAGGCCCAAGCAGGTGCGGCGGCTAGAGCCTGGGGCTCGCACGCCTCACTCTCACCCACATGCACAGGGGGCGCTCCTGGGATGTATGCAGAGCTGACGGGGCCTCAGAGATCATCCAGACCAACCCATTTCACACACAGGGAGCGCGAGGCCCTGGGAGGTCAGGGCGATGGTGCCATGTGCTCAGTTGGTGGCGAGGTGCCCTGCACCTTGTCGGCCTTCTGATACCTAGATGGTGGCTGTCTCCCCAACCTGCAAATGGAGGACCAGAGAGGAATTCTGGGTCCTTCTCTACTTGGGTGCTTGTCCCAGCCTGTGCTTTGGGCTCATTGGCTGGGTCCACGTTGGATTCCCATGCACTGGTCTGCAAGCTGACCTTCCTTACCATAGGGACCCCAGGAGGGATGGGGGGGGGGATGTTCCAAGTCGCTGCTGGCCCCACCTCCCCTTTAAAAGCACAGAGAGAGCACAGGCATGAGGAGGCCTGGGTGCTGACAGCTGTGCCACCTGGGCAACGTCCTATGTTCCCTCCGTTCTAGGTGCGAGGGATCCAGCAGCGAACAAATAAGCCAAATATTTCTTCTTGTGGAAGTTACCCATTTCTCCTAGAAGGGCCAGGTACTAAAGAAAGAAACAGACATATAAGGGCCAGGGGTGGTCCTTGCTCTAGAGAGAAATAACAAGGGGTGGCTGCGGGGGTGGCAACCTGGAGGGCTGCTATTTTAGGCTCCAGAAAGGCATCCCTGAGGAGGACACATTTGAGCAGAGGCACTCAGAAAATGTATGTCAAGTGAGCAATGGAGCGATGAATGAATAAATGAGTGAATGAATGCAATGGGAGCCCTCAAACCCAGGTCTGTCTGACTTCCAGGCCCCTGATCTTCACGACCACCGCCTTCTTGCTGTGCCCATCCCCGAGGAGTCTGGCCCAGTGGCTTTGGGCTGTTCGCTCGCTCTCTCTGGGCCTCGGTGTCCCCATACATAAAATGAGGATGGTGCTAGGGTCGCTCAAGCTTTCATATTTTAAGTACCAGACTCGGGCATTGTCATCTGAGCACATTCACTGGGCTCGGGAGGTTCAGTCGTGGCTGCAGCCCAGCCCGGAGCCTCAGCTTGCGCCTACACCAGCACTTTGCATCCTGCAGACCTGACGGCATGGGAGGCCCCTGGGCCCCATCCTGCAGTGCAGGGTGCTGGGCACCGCAGGGATGTCTTGAGAAGAGGGGAGAAGCTCAGCTCGCATTGAGCTGTTTCTTGTGGTTTCCCTGATGCTGCTCTGGTATCTCTCTCTGGCTTTACCACAATGTGCGGATTTTGTCCTTGAGCCCTCCTCGTCTAAAATGATGCGCCCTCCCCGCCCCCAGCCCTTTCTCCTGTTGGTGACCAGAGCTGCCACTCACTAGGCTATTTATGGGGAAGCACGCTCTCCAATGGGTCAGCATCAAGATAAATTCTGCAGACTTGCGGAATCCCCCTTGCTTTGCTTCAGTTGTGGCAGGATGTGCAGTAAATCAAACCTAATGCGTTGCAGATCGCCCTGATCAGATCCTGCTGCAGGCGGCCCTGGAGACAGGCTCGGGGCTGAGGCACCCTGCCGACTGCAGCCTCCAGCAGGACCTGGCCCTTCTCTCAGCTCCAGTTTTAATCAAAATTCTCGGTGTCAGCTGTAGGGGAGGTGGGGCAGCTAGACAAGCAGCCATGGCGGGTGCCTCAGGTTCGCTCCATTTAAGTGCCCTGGGGACCGGGACCTGCTGGCAGGGAGCGGGGAGGGCCTCACCTGGAAGCCCAGGTGAGATCGCAGGCCTCCCTGGCACAGTGCCCTTGGGCAGCATTTGCTCGTGTAGCATGGGCAGGACAGCAGCCCAGGGAGGCTGAGGACTGAAGGGTCCGTGGACACGCACTCCCACCTGGGGCATCTCCAGGACGCAGTGGGATATTCGGCTGACCCGCTGCAGAGTCCCAACAGAGAGCCATGTGTATTCTAGGGAATTCTGGGGTCTCCTAGGCCAGCTGGCTCTGTCCCCGTCTCCCCAAAGCCCAAGACCCTGACTATTCCTGGGCTGGCGGTCACTAAAGACTCACTGTCCTCACTGATGTGGTCCAAGGCCTGGCCTGGGCGGGTTGGCTAACCCCGCAGACCAGCGTGGACAGTTGTCCCCATCGGCCAGGCCTCCTAGCCTCATTGGCAGGATTCGGCTGGCCAGGTCCCCTTGAAGTTCAGTCTTTGCCCGAGTCAAAAGCTGTGGGCCAAGGCCAGCAGGGAGGGCAGCTGGGCACGCTTCTGCTGTGCAGTGACCTTGCCCGGCCGCGGAGGTGGCATATCCGAGGGGAACAGACAGGAGCCGGCTTCCGGAGGCAGCTCCTCCCGTCCAGAGCCGGGCAGTTTACATCTCTGGGAAGATGCAGGGCAACTGCAGGCCAGGTGTACATGTGTTTAATTTTACATTCTCTGACCTCCGCTTGATGAGGAAGTGCTTTGAAATATAGCAGAATGCGGGATCCTTCAAAGGATTCACTTCCTTGGTGCTTTATTTTCTTAAGGGGAAGCATGAAAGACAGATGAGGATGGCAGGGGAGCGTGTCGCCTCCCCCGCCCCCTTGTGGAGACATTATCTGCTGTAAAACTGTCGCTGAAGGATGGAGAACCAGCTCTTGGCTGCAGTGGCCCTCAGATAATGTCATTGGTGAGCAATGACCCAGGGTTTGTTGGCACCTCCAGGGCACTGGTGCCAGAATCCTAGCCGAGCCTGGTCAGCGCTCCTGCCTGGGGAACGAAGGAGCAGGGCCTGGTGTCCGGGGGTCCCGTGTGAGAACTCTAATCCTTTCCCCACCAAATATTCATATCCCTTTGAATCCCCTGGAGATCCTATAAAAATACAGAGAAAGATTGAATAGGTGTGGAATGGGCCTGACACTGCATTGCTAACCAGCCCCTGGATGCCGCTGGCCCACGACGTTTTGAATAGAAAGACCCTTCCTAGAGAAGGTAGCCACTGGCTTCCTGGGTCCCAGCAGGGGTTCAGGCTCCACAGAACAGAGAGCGTGGACTTGGCTGAGCCCTGGGAGCAATGGCTGTGGGACCCAGGTGGGCTTGAGCACTTGGATCTGCATGTGGGAAAGGGAGCGGTGGTGCCATGGGCAACCCTTGATTGGGACTTGGTGTCTGGAGTGGCCTCTTTTGCCTGTTAGATTTGCCCTTCTGAGGGTGCTCAGATAAGGCCTGTGGGAAACTGAGTCCCAACGGGGAGGAGGGCCAGCTCAATAGTTCATGCCACGGACCAGCTCCGCGTGTGTGACAAGGAGTTGATTTAGCTGGTCAGGCCAGCTAACCCGCCCCTGCTCCCCTGGCTTCACAGGTCCCGGATGAGAAGGTGCTGACAGCAGTCGAGTCCCACCTTCTCTGTGTGCTGGGGAGCAGGGCCCGTGGCCCCAGTGTCACCGATGCCGAAGAACAGCAAGGTGACCCAGCGTGAGCACAGCAGCGAGCATGTCACGGAGTCGGTGGCCGACCTGCTGGCCCTCGAGGAGCCAGTGGACTACAAGCAGAGCGTCCTGAACGTGGCGGGCGGGCCAGGTGGCAAGCAGGCGGCGGCGGAGGAGGAGCTGGACGCCGAGGACCGGCCGGCCTGGAACAGCAAGCTGCAGTACATCCTGGCCCAGATCGGCTTCTCCGTGGGCCTCGGCAACATCTGGAGGTTCCCCTACCTGTGCCAGAAAAACGGAGGCGGTAAGAAGCAGGCCTGCTGGCCCTGGCGTGCCCTGCGCATGGGCTGGGCTGAGGGGTGAAAAGGACCCCCAGGAACTGCTAAGCACTAAGAGCTATCAAGAACCTGAACAGCCAGGGTTCAAGTCCCTGCCAAGCCAGTCAGCTCTTTGCATGCAACCTCATTTCTTTGTTCCTCATCTGTAAAATGGGAATAATAGTTATTCCTGCTGTACAGGAGAGTTGGGAAAATCAAAAAAGCTTTGCATGTAGAGTGCTTATAACATGGTGTTTTACACATTGTAAAGAGCAGCTTCTGGCCATTATATTACATGCTTACTAGGTGCCTAAGCACTTACTGGATATTAGTCTGAAATAGATGACACTGCTGATATTTGAGCATCTTGGAATAATCAAAGCATCAGTTTCATGTGGTTCAACCATTGAATCCCCTCAACAACCCCATGTTGTTATCATCCTCATTTAAGAGACTGCAAAACTGAAGCACAGAGAGGTTAGGTAACTTGCTCAAGGTCACACAGCTACTGATAAAGTCAGAATTCAAGCCTGGACAGCTTGGCCCCAGGGCCTGCGCACACAATCACCACACCTAGGAGGGAGGGGTCATGCTGCTCGCTGAGTTTGAATCCCCTAGAGCAGCGGTTCTCAGCCTGTGGGTCGCAAACAATGAAAATACATCCTGCATATCAGATATTTACATTATGATTCATAACAGTAGCAAAATTACAGTTATGAAGTAGCAACGAAAATAATTTTATGGTTGGGGGTCACCACAACATGAGGAACTGTATTGAAGGGTCGCGGCATTAGGAAGGTTGAGAACCACTGCCCTAGAGGATCTTACTCTGGTATCAAACCTCTTCTCCCCAGAGTCTGGGTCTCAACACCCCGAGGCAGTCTTTCAAATCCCAGGAATAACCCTGGGGTTGGCCAGAATGAGACTCAAAGCTACACTGAGGCATAGACTGTTAGCGACCCAGGAGACCTCAGAGCCCCTGGGATCCAGTCCCTGCCGCCATCCTCTGCTGAAGTTGCTACCCCCTGAGCAGTGCTTGCTGCTGCTCAGGCTGATGGCCTGAGGCTCTCGCAGGCCTGGAACATCAAAGGAAATCCAGGTGTGTCCCTAAGTGTATTTGCTAAGGTGGAAGAGGGTGTATTTCCAAGTGATTTCAACAAGGGTTAATGTGAAAAAGCACCTCTGATGGCCCGGAAGTGCTGCCCCAGCTCACATCCCCCGAGCACTGTGCTTACTAGTGCGGCCTCTGCTGGTGGGGAGCCCAGCAGGCAAGACAGCGCCTGGGCCTGCTGAAGGGGACGGGGCTGAGTGAAGGGTGCCAGATGGCGGGTGGCCAGTCTGCTGAGGACCCCTCTTTGGGCAGCGTTCCCTAGAGGCTTCCCTGGTTCTTCGGGGAGAGGAGAAAAGCAGCCACAGAAGATGCCAACATACTTCTCTGACACCCCGAAACCCATCTCCCTGCACATCTGGCCACCCAAGGACATGGGGGTGAAATACACAACCAGTTGGCTGTGTCCCTTTGCTGTCCTGCAGGTCATGTCTCTCCTCTCCCATTTCCTGAGCCCAGGATCAAGACAGAATAGGTTATAAGACTGACCCACCTGCCTGTTAGGGCCGTGATGGGGCTGCTGGTCAGTGAGGAGTGGCATCGATGTGTGCAGTGTGAGTTAGTGAGCTGGCTGCTATGTGTGAGGCTCAGTGGGTTGCCTGCCCTGGAAGCTTTTCCCAGTTAGCTGTATGGTCAGTTGGTTTTGTGTGGTGTGTGTGTGTGTGTGTGTGTATGTGTATGTGTATGCATGTGCATATGCTGACATTGCTCGTGTGAACCTGGAGGTTCTGCCCTGGCTCCCTGGATAGCGTCTGACCCTCTGTTGTCCTGATGCCCTTCATTGTGTATGCCTGGTACAGATTAGGTAACAGCTGACTGTTGCCCAGTGCCAGGTCTCGTGCCCAGGAGATGCCCATCCCTCAGGTTTGTTGGCAGATTGAGCACATATTGGGGAGCATGTGGGATGTCATGGGATGGGGGGCAGAGCGGTGAGGCTGGAGGGTCTATTGGAGACTCCCAGCTCACTGGGCTTGGTCTGGGGGTGCTGGGTGACCATCAAGGCACTGGTGACTGGTGCTGGTCTGGCCCCGTTAGACGGACAGGCAGGGCTGTGCCAACAGCATTGCTAACAGGACTAGGTCATTGGCACAGCTCTCGACGGGATCGCTCGTCTGTGTCCAGACAAGATTTTAATTTTCCTGCTAAATGCCCTGTCACTGGAAATGAGATTGTCTGCTGTGAAGCCCAGGACAGAGTTTAATTTATCATCTGGAATCTTCAGCGATTCCATTCTCTCCTAATGATCTTCCCAGCTCCACTGTCCTGAGCTGCTCATTTCTCCCCGCTCCTCCCACTTAGCTATAGACTCACGGCCATGCTGGTCAGACCTGTCTCCCTGCGGAGCCTCTGCTTCCCCAGAGCCGCCCCGTCTGGCCCTGGGCGGGGTCTGTGCCCCGGGGCCACTCCACCTGGGCTGCTGCTCTGTAGGTGGGAGGGTGGTGAGCAGTTGTCCCCAGAGTACATCACTGGGTCAGTGTGTCTGCTGGCGTGTGACTGGATATGTGGATTCTGAGAGGCAGTACAGTGTCTGCCTGCCCGCCTGCCTGCCTGTCTGTCTGTCTTTGGGTCTAGCTTGTAAGCGGGAGGCATTGATGTACCTTGGACCCTCCCTTCGTGTTTCAGGTGAGGGGAATCCCGGGAAGGGGAGGGTTTGGGTGACCGGAGTGGTCAGCCACACTGATGAGCCAGACCATCCCTGGAGGAACACAAGGACCAGGGGTGGTTTGAGATGATCGGAGATGTGGGCCGGACGGTAGGACTGGCTGTCAGCCCTCCTTACCCTGGTGCCAGCCTCAGACACCTTTCCACATCCCCCTCAGGTGCCTACCTGGTGCCCTACCTGGTGCTGCTGATCATCATCGGGATCCCGCTCTTCTTCCTGGAGCTGGCCGTGGGCCAGCGCATCCGCCGGGGCAGCATCGGCGTGTGGCACTACGTGTGTCCCCGCCTGGGCGGCATCGGCTTCTCCAGCTGCATCGTGAGTCGGGGGCTGGCCCCGGGACCTTCCTGGGAGGCAGAGGGGCTGCTCTTGGGTGCAGGGTCTCCAGACAGGAGTCCTGGGCCGGGTCAAGGACAGGGAAGGAGCCCCTCAACGTGGGAATGCTCCCAGCTGGTGTCTCGGGACCATTATCTCCTAGACTGGAAGTTGTTGCCACTGCCTGAAGCGGGGTATAAACTTGGGAATGTTATGAAGGAGGAAAGGCCAGGACATGTCACAGGGGGTGCGGGGACATCTCTGCTGGAGTTCAGGGACATGTAAGCCACCCGGTACTCCGCTCTGCTTACCAGCCCGTAGCTCCCTGCGAGGGAGGCCCTTCCTCTTTCCTTGGGTAAAGAGTATGTTAACTGGGCAAGTGGGTGGCAGGAAAAGGCAGCCCTGGGCACGGGCATCCTTGCCATGTTTCTGTGCTCATGGGCAGAGCTGGAGGAGGGTCAGACAGGAGCGCCCGGAGGGGTGAGGCTTTGGCACAGCGGGAGGCAGGAGACCCCTGGACAGGGAGCTTTGTGAGGCTCTCGGCTCATCCACAGGCCTGCGTAGCGCTCTGGGGAGGACAGTGAGCCTCCCTTAGGGATACAGCCCAGGTGCCCACGCTCACCTGGGACAAAACGGGGATCTGCTTCTGGAAGGGACCGAGGATGCAGAGCCCGGGGGAGGGCCAGTGCAGCTGCCTCTCATGCTGGGCATCGCCCCTGCACAGGTGCACATGGCTGCACACAGCCCACTCTGCTGGGGCTGCCGTGAGTGGGAGGGGGTCCCCTTGGACTGAAAGCACGCAAGTAAAGGAGTGGGTGCCCCTCTGTATCCCCTAACATGTGCTATGGGAGCGTCCACTCCTCCACACCAGGGCTCGGGTGAAATCAGGTGAAGTCGATGAAGCGCGGGGCCCTGGGCTGTCTCACGGGCCAGCAGGGTCAGTGGTGCATAGTCATAGCTGCCCTGGGAGGTGGCCGGGCCTGTTACGGTTCATGCAGCGCAAGAAAGCACTGCTTTCAAAGAAGCGCCCGGGAGCCCCAGTCACTTCTACCAAAGGTAATTCTATCGCTTCCAAGAAATGAGAAGGGACATTCTCCTGGAGATGAGAAGCGAGAACTGACGTCTTTGTAGAGGCGGCTGCAGACCGTCCACGGGAGAGGAGTGTCCCGAGAGAAAGGCGGGCACAGGAAACCAATAAGAAGCATCCAGAAAATCCCAGAAGGCACCCCAGTCTGGGCATAGTGACTATGGAGGCAGAGCTGTGCGGGTCCCACGCCCGGGGCAGCTCTGACACTGCAGCCGAGGCATCGGGAAAGGGTAGGTAGTGCTCTCAGCCTCCTAGAAGAGTGAGAAACTGGAAAGGATTAACATGTTATGCGTTTATTGCTTAAAGGAGAGACTGTAATATGGGAAGCATTCCTCGGTGGATTCTTTGAATACCAGATGAATGGAGGGTTAGGAGGGGCCTTGGCTGCCCCATCTCCTCCCCGCTCCTCCTCCTCGTGGGGTTGGGGGTGGGGGTGGGAAGGGAAGGGTCTTCCTACCGCCCCCATAACCCCTGCCCGTGGGCCCTCGTCCTCAGGTCTGCCTCTTTGTTGGGCTGTATTATAATGTGATTATCGGCTGGAGCATCTTCTACTTCTTCAAGTCCTTCCAGTACCCACTGCCCTGGAGTGAATGTCCTGTCGTCAGGAATGGGACTGCGGCAGGCAAGTACGGGGGCCCCTGAATGTGACCAGCTGGGGACCCCAGCCAGCCCTGTCCCAGGAAGGAGTCAAACGAGCCAAAGAGGCTTAGGCACAGATTTGGGATTGCATTGACTTGCTGTGTTACCTTAAAAAAGACACCTGCCCTCTCTTATCCTCCTTTCCCCTTCCGATGCCCTCTCACCAGCCTGTAGTTCTTTTTTTTAAAATATATTTTATTGATTTTTTACAGAGAGGAAGGGAGAGAGATAGAGAGTTAGAAACATCGATGAGAGAGAAACATCGATCAGCTGCCTCCTGCACATCTCCTACTGGGGATGTGCCCGCAACCCAGGTACATGCCCTTGACTGGAATCGAACCTGGGACCTTTCAGTCCGCAGCCGGTGCTCTATCCACTGAGCCAAACCGGTTCGGCAAGCCTGTAGTTCTTAATGGGATTGAATGAACTAGTGAGTGCAGGTAAAACTCTGCAAATGGGGACTCTTCTTTAGTTGTTATCCACTACCCTGTGCTACTCAAATACCATCCTCTCCTGAAACAGTTTTAATTTGTATGCGCTTTCCATCAAGGCCTGGATGATTTATCCCACCTCACAGATGGGCAAACTGAGGCCCAGAACAACTTTCCTGAGGTCACACCACTGATTTAGCCAAGGGAGGGAATCCAGGTCTTCTGCTCCCAGCTCAGGAGCTTCCTAAGTTCTGCCTTACCCTTCGTGCCCTCCACAGAGGCACTCTGGGGAGGACAGTGAGCCTCCCTTAGGGATACAGCCCAGGTGCCCACGCTCACCTGGGACAAAACGGGGATCTGCTTCTGGAAGGGACCGAGGATGCAGCGGGAATATAGATTAATGAGTCCTAAGGCCTCCCAGGCCCTGTCGAGAGCCCAGGAGTCCTCGGGGTCTTCGATCCTGGCTAACCCAGAACAGGCACAGCCCCTCCCTGTGGCCCCCACTCAGCTGCCCCCTTGCCCGCTGCCTGGGTGGGGGTCCAGGCCCCGCCACTGAGGCTCTGCTGCCGTTGCAGTGGTGGAGGCGGAGTGTGAAAAGAGCTCGGCCACCACCTACTTCTGGTACCGAGAGGCCTTGGACATCTCCAACTCCATCTCGGAGAGTGGGGGCCTCAACTGGAAGATGACCCTGTGCCTCCTCGTGGCCTGGACCATTGTGGGCATGGCCGTCATCAAGGGCATCCAGTCCTCGGGGAAGGTGAGTTGGGAGGGGGCACTCAGACCCCACAGCCTGAGAAAAGGGTGGAGGGCAGGGGGCCAGGAGATCCGGGTCGCCCCACACAGGGTCCTGTCGGTGGGCTTGGCCTCCGGATGGCTCGGGATGAGGTCACAGGCTCCCGAGGAGGCTATGGAGTGTCATTGCTACAGCATCGTTCCTGGTGGACAGATCCTCAGAGGGCTGCACACAGGTCTCTGCAGTGCAGACCAGCAGAGCCCCATACACCTTCTCCCCCAGTTCATTCCCCTCCAAATATGCTCATGCTTTTAGTCACCTGTCACTATTCATGCACTGCCAGGGCTGGAGAGGACGTTAGGGATCCCGCAGCCCAATCCACTCATTTTTCAGGTGAGGAAACTGAGGCTGAGGGAGGAGAAAGTACCTCCCTGAGATCATACAGTCAGTCTGTCCGTCCTGGAGCTGGAATTAGAGCCCTGGCTGGCTGGCTGGGCCTCAGGTTCTTTACCAGACTTGATGAGCAAGGACGCCAAGCCTTTGGAACAGTAGCGTGGTCTCAGCCACCTCCTCTTCCCTCTCTAGAGTTTAAAATTGTAGCCGACACTTTGTGGTACTTAGTGTATGAATGCCTGTGATCCACAGCCACCTTATGGGTTAGGAGTTACTGTACCCATTTTATAGATGAGGCGATGGAGGCACGCTGAGGCTAAGTACATCGCCCAAGGTCACGTGCCTCCTAAGTGACCGAAGGAAGCTCCCCTGGGAACCACGGCTTGTACCCAGGTCTAGCTGCGGACACGCACACTCCTGACGGCCACACCGCCTGCCCGGCGGTCCTCCTGATCTGTTTCAGTGCAGCGAACATGGCGTGAGCATCTTCTTCGCGTGAGGCTCTGTGCCAGGCACATGGGGATGTGGAAACGCGCAAGAAACACACATGCTAGAAAATAGGACATGATTTATAATCACAAGAGGCAGGACCTTCTTCTGATGTTTTTGCTTGGGAGCCGTGACTATAACCTCCTGGAGGCCTTCTGTCAAAGGCCTCTAAGGACAGGGGAGACCCTCAGGGGGTCCGCTGGAGCCAGGGACAGAAACGCAGGCTCCAGACATGAAAAAACTGAGGAAGGGAGAGCAAAGGGTTCCTCGCCCCCTGCGCCCTGCGGAGGGGTTGCGGGGCTGCAGGCCCAGCAATGCTGACTCCAGCTTTTCTGGGCTCCTTGTTTCTTGCCTTGGCTCCAGGCCACACAAGCGGTGGGGTTGGACCCGTGGCAAGGGTCCCGGGCTCTGCTTTCAGCAGCTATCAACGGGGCTCATGTGCCCAAGCTGTAAAAGGGAAGGGAGGTACCAGCTGCAGGAGGGCCATGTCCCACGGAGGGTCCCTTTTGTTCTTTGGAGGTGAAGAAATTTTGCTTATGTCATTACTAACGTTGTTGCCGGACTGTTTCTGGTCCGGGTGCGAGTTGTGTGAGCGATTGCGGTCGGAACCCAGCACAAGAAGACGGTTCAAGGTTTATATTGGGTAATAGCGCCTACAGGTGCGTGAGACATGGTCGAGCCAACCATCATGGCGCAACGCGCCTGCACTCCCAAGCCCCCACAGGGATGAAAAGCGGGGCAGATA